ATATATAGAATAAAATATATAATATTTTAGAAATATGGTACATTTGTACATTTATAATACTTGTCTCTTTACTTACTTTTCAGTAGGGTTGTGTGTGTGTGTGTCTTCTAAATATTTTTTTTTCTCTATGCATCTTAGATTTATTTAGTTACTTGATAATGTTTGTTAATCATATTCAATTAGGAGAAAACAAGGGGAAAAAAAGAAGTCAAATCAGTGTTGCTGTAGCTTACTAAGGCTTTCCTTTTCTACCATTAGCTGATCTCATTCCCAGTAAAACCAAAGTTACCTATCAGCATACCATCTGTATCTAGATCTCCAGATTGATGGAAAGAGAGTTTTCCACCTCCATTACATCTCAGTAATCACCCTTCCCTGCTTCATTCCCAGATATTTATATAAAATTTTCTACACTTTAGAAGTCTCTTCACCTTGCTCTCAGTCCCCATGGAGCTGTCTGCTAGTGGGCAGAGCCCTAATTTGTATACAAATCCTAGCAGAAGGTAGGCAGAAGCCCTTAGCAGGTTGACCTTGTAAACCAGCTGATGCCAGGAGTTTGTAGGGTGAAAGATTTGAAATGCACGCTGGACAGAATCCCTGTAGTGCATTCTGCAAATATCCTGATGTCTATATATATAGACATATAAAATCAAATTTGTCACTGTCCATCTCAATGAAAAGTGACTGGGTGGTTTACAAAGGAGATAAAATCAATTAAAATACAGTATAAAAACAATCTTAAAAATAATAAATAAATTCCCAGAATGAAGGTATTGGTTTATAACTCAGGAGTGACATCAGGGTGCCAGCCATGCCCAGAATTGATTAAAATTCTTATTGTTCCATGCAAGCTGGCAGAGGCAGGTCTTAAGTTCTTTCCAGAAAACCGGGAGGGTAGAGTGCCTCTGGGGGAAGAATATTCCAAAGGGTGGGGGCAACGGCAGAGAAGGGTCTCCTCCTAGGCCCCACCAGCTATCATTCTCTTCCTGACAGGGTCTGCAACGTACCCTCTCTGCCTGACCAGGTGGGACAGGTGTAATGGGGGTGAGGTGGTCCCTCAGGTAATCTGGACCCATGCTATGTAGAGCTTTAAAGGTGATAACTATCACCTTGAATGGGACCCAAACTGGCACCCAATTCAGCTCCCATAGCAAAGGTGTTATATGTGCCATCCTAGGGGCATCCAAGATTGTTCACACAGCCACATTTTGAACCAGCTGTAGCTTCTGGATACTCTTCAAGGGTAGCCCCATGTAGACTGCATTGCAATAGTCTAACTAAGAGATGACCAGGGCATGAGTGACTGACTGGAGAGCCTCCTGATCCAGGAAGGAGCATAACTGGTGCACCAAACAAAGGTGGGCAAAAGCCCTCCTGGCCACAACTGCCCCTTGCTCCTTGAGCAGGAGTTGTGAGTCCAGGAGGGACCCCAGATTACGCACCAGGTCTGT